CCAGTGAGGCCTCTTCACGTGAGAATTTAGCAATAACTATCAAGATGTAAATATGTACACTTTGACCTAGTTCCATGCCATGATGAATATATTCCTACAAGAAAGGAACAATTTATGCACAAGGCAATTATTACATTATTTAAATGTCCATGAGAAGGAGCTGGTTAAATAAATCATGGTCCAACTGTGCAGTGGGATACTACGTAGTTTTGAAAAAGAATGAGATGGATACATGTGTGGAAATATAGAATAATTTCAAGGATGTGTGACTTCGAGCAAGTTACTTAATCTGTGTCTCAGTTTCCTCATCTGTGAAATAATAAACTTTCATAGTAAATAACAGTGAAATATAATGCTAAACAATGAACACCAACAACTAATAATGGTACTTGAAGGACTAGCGTGAGAAAAAAATAAGTCCATAGGTGTATATAAAATGCTCAGCCTGGCTGGCACATAGTAGGTACTAGGTGTTAAATATTATTATTGTTACATACCATGTTTCTCTGAAAATAAGACACTGTCTTATATTTATTTTTTCTCAAGAAGACACACTAGGGCTTATTTTCAGGGGATGTCTTATTTTAATTAAGTATAATACAACAATCTATACTTATTCAAATACAGTTAAGTCATCTTCTTCTGGAACCTGACAGGGGGAGCCGACTTTGTTGGAGGGGCTGGTGTGAGTGATGCGTGAACTCCTTTCCCCTAGCCATTTGCATGTGTGCAATAGGATGCCTGTGACCGCGGTTACCACACGTACACCTGTGCAAGTGGGAACGGCTCGGGGAAAGGAGCTGTGGCAGATAAAAGGTATTCCAGGCTTCCTTACCGCTCAGTGCCAGAATGCACGACATGCCCATCACTAGGTTTTATTATTGGGTTAGGGCTTATATGTAACAAATGCATAGAAATCCTGCTAGGGCTTATTTTTAGGGTAGGTCTTATTTTGGGGAAATAGTATTTTTAGGTAGAATAGCAAATTTCTAGAAGGTATGTAAAGTATGAAAAAGCAAATACACAAACATCTCTGGGAGGACAAAGAAACCACTGGTGGTGACTAGTCTGGGGACTGCCAGATTACGCCCTGCTGTGTGAGCCTGTGCTGCCTTTATAATTTAAAAAATGCAACAACAAAACAACCACAGCAAACAGGCACTATGTGGAATTCAAGCTTTAAACAAGGCAAAGAAAAAGAAAGATGTTCTTCTGGAAGATATTGTTCATCATTCATTCATTCATTCATTCATTCGTAGAACATGGACGGAATATCTGCTGTATTTTAGGCACTTGTTGTAAAAGACAAATAAGATTTGGTGATAATGATTCCTCACAAGCGTCGTCTAATGAGGGAGAGAGATACATAAGAAACATATTCCAATTGCTGAGGGAGCCCAGAGAGGGAGGTAGTAAATTCTGTTGGTGATATCTGTCTGGGTTTTGGGGGATTAATAAGGAGTTTTCCTGGGGGGCATGTGAAGTGGAGAAGGCAAAACTAGTACATGGTGAGAGAAATCAGACCTGTGGTTGTTTCTAGGGTTGAAGGGGGATTGATCCAGGCAGAGGCACAGGGAACTTTCAGGGGTGACAGAGATCTTCACGGAAACATGGGCTCCCTAAAAGTATACGCAGCGGTTAAAACTGACCAGGTTATGCAATTAGGGTGTATGCATTTCAGTGTGTGTAGGGATACCTTAACTGAAAAGAAAAACCAGAATTAAAAGATACAATGTATGAATAAGTAAGAGTCAGAGGGAGTTAGAGACCTCAATGTGTATAAAGAAGTGTGGTCTCTGGTAGGAGGAGAGGGAAGACCGGCCATCTTGGTAGGTGTGGGGCACTGGTCCTGGCTACTTGATGATGCATGGTCATCCAACCCGGTGAGGGCTTAAAACACACCTGAAAGGAAGGTGGTCCACTTTCTACCTTCAGGGAGCCTCCATCCCAAAGCAGGGGCTTTCCAGTACTGGGAGGTGGGCCTCACTCTGACTCATGATGCTAGAGGCACAGGAGCCTCCCGTCTCTGCCTTCACCCGCAGAAAAGGTGCCTTCATCAGGTCCTGCTGACCTTGGCATAACAGGGAACATAATTTTCATATGAGAGTGGCTTGTCCTTGGGAAATTTCCCCAGTACTTTAAGCACAAGTGTTCTTGGCTGAGCTGTGAGACATGTGCACACATCTTTTTTGTTACCTGTCTTATGTCATGAATGAGCTTCGGTCATAGACCACGCAGGACCCCCTCCCCTCTCCCATTTCTGAGCCAGCCTGTATGGGCTGCCTTTCTGGGCCTCAGCGGGCTCCAGCCACCGTCTTCCACTCTGACCTCTTTGGGCTCTAGAGCAGTGTCTTTCAGCCTTTCTTATCTCATGGCAACTTGAAACTCTAGTTAAGCTTCCACTGCACATTTAAATTATGTTGATCCAAAAAAAGAGTAAAATAAAGAATATACTTACTGTGCTTTGAACTTCCTTCAAAAATAATTTGATTAGTGATTTTTAAAAAATTTCACAGCACGCCTAGGATTCTCTCACGGCAGGGCTGTATGCTGGGCCCACAGGCTGGAAATCACAGCCCCAGACAGTTTGTTTCCAGGTGTGTTTTGTTTTGCTTTTTTTTTGCAGTTTTTGGCCGGGGCTGGGTTTGAACCCGCCA